CTAGAGTTACTATTACTCAGCTTCAGTTCATTATCTAACAAACTAGATTAAGGATTGATTTACTAAACTACTCTACTAACTACTCTACTAATTACAAGTTGGAAACTCACTTAGGTATTATTCCCCCTAACTCCACAATTAGGTCCAATTTGCAATTACCTTTGGTTGATCTACTGTTGATTAAACTGCGAAAGATCTTAAATTAGCTTGGAATCTCTTAAGCTGACCAAGCCCTCTTAGACAGAATACCCGGCAGGCGACTAGCCTTCACCGGGATAGACTGCTAAGGTGATTCACACAGATCTCCACTAGTGGAATGAATTCCAGTACAAAGCAGTGAATTGATTGACTCTCGCACAACCAATTCACCACTATCAATCAAGGAAGCTCTCTTAACCTAATCAGATTCTATCTATTATAGGTTAAAGCAGAAATCAAGAGAAGATGATCAGGCTTCAATTGACTCTATTAATCATGCCTCAATGGATTATAATCAAACAATATAGCATCCAAAACTTCATTCAAGAAAGATTCTAACACATGGAACTAGGGTTCCTCAAAACCTAAGTGAAGGGAAGTTACTCCATAGAGAAGAGAGAGACTATAGAAATATGATCTAGATCTTCAATATCCATCTCCAAGCTTGATTCCCGAGCTCCAATGGTGAATAAATCCTCCAAAATAGCTCCAAGAATGTTCCCAAGTCGCTCTCTCTCTCTCTCTAGGGTTCGTCCCTTGGGTGTTTGGGAACCAAAACCCAGCTCTCTCTTTCCTTTGGCTTGAATCTGCCTCAAAAACACGATTATGGGCAAAACACGGTCGAGGACACGGCCGTGTTTTACTTTTGCCCGCCCGTGTATTGCCCCCATCAGCCCTCACGACATGCCCTCGGCAGTAAAAACAATAGTGGGGGCCAGATAAAACACGGCTGTGTTTTTAGGGTAGTCTGCCCGTGATTTTACTGCCGAGCCTGTTCTCCTATATTCAATGCTTCATTTCTCCCTCGTCCGGACTCCGAATCAGTCGCCGTTTGATCCCAGACGCTCGTAGTCTTGTCCTCTTTCTTTTCATTACAAGCTTGTATGATTCTTTGTCCATTAATGAGGTATAAATCCATTCTTCTTCAGGTCATGCCTGAGAATCTTATCCCGAATCGCCAATTGGTATCCGATTAACTTGAAACTTGCGCCTAGCCTTTCCGTCGACGCTTGGGACCTGAACTGTGACAAAGAAATAAAAACTAGCATAAAATAGGGCAAAGAAGCTATAATGCAAGCCTAAACGATCAAGAAACAAAGGGGAAAACATGTGCAAATATCGCGTCATCATTGGTGCTCCCAAGTGGTTCTCTAGGAAGCTTTGACCTGAAATTGGACAAAACGTGACCAATGCTAAAAGCAGTAGTAAAGTAACTCAAACACACTTTGAGCATTCTTGTAAAAAATTCAAGGCATTATGATGATAAATATGAGAAACAATGCACTTTTAGCCATAAATATGAGGGTTTAACGTAACATATTCTACGTGCCATCAAATAACCCCACACTCAAACTTTGCTTGTCCCTAAGCAAACCTAAGTTAATAAAATGCGTGTGGAGAACTCCCACCGCCCAATCCGCGTGTCACTTTGTCATTTTATCGAAGGCGGATTTGGCTTTGATTTTTTTCTTCTATCCGAGCCCAATTTGGCCCCAATTTTTGGATTTTTGGACCATTTAGAATTTTTAGCCATGGTTGGAGAGGGTTTTTAGAACTTTTAGCTTTTTTGGATCACCATTTGATATGGTCTAAGGGTTGTGGTAAGATATCGAGCTCGTGAATGGATAGGTTCTTTTGATCAAAGTAACGCATCAACAACTTATACCTTGAGAGCTCAAATCAACCTTCGAACAAACATAAAAATAAAGGGATACGTGGAGATAGATACTCGTCACAATCACGTGTGATCGCTTGATTAATAAGAGTCTTGCTGATTCGGGTCTAAATGCACACATTTTACCCATCATTTCTAGATAGTTTGACTTTGTATTTCATCGTCTCTAACCTATTTTATGCTAGGGTGTGCTTGTTTGGTCATATTTTAGGTCCTAGCACGTGTGGAAAGGTCGAGGACGAGTTTTGGATCGATGGGAGGTCGTAAAGCGTGAAAAGTGAAGAAAAGTCCAAAGTGAGACCGTGAAGTGTGAAGGTTCCAGAGAAGTTTTCGGTCTCACTAGACTCAAGCCAGTTCATGGTTCCCGCCTTGAGCTCATGACCATGAACTGGGACCGTGATCTAAGCCCGATTTGGGTATAAAAAGGGAAGTGAGCTGAAGGAGAAAGGTAGCTTTTTTCTAGGGTTTTAGTTTTAGAATAAAGGAGAATTTCTAGTGAGAGATTAGGGTTTCCTCTTCCTATTCTAGAGATATAAAGTGCCATTCAAATTAGAAAGAAGGATATTGGGCTCATTTCAAGCTAGAGGAGTGAAGGTTTCTTCTTCTTCTCAAGAGAGATTCAAGCAACAAGGAGGAAATATTTTCATCTCTTCACGGTTTTTTCTTTCCTTTTCATTGTTTTCCTTTGCCTAGCTATGAAATAGCTTACCTATTCACTTGGGTGTTTGCAAACCCTAGCTACAATTATGTGAATGTTTGTATGGTGACTCGCACAAAACACCACACTAGAAATCCCCTCTAGAGCCCAAGTTTTTAAACTCTAGAGGGGTGCAGCATAGGGCAAGTAAGTTTTAATTATCAACCCAGGCCGATCCATGTACCCCTACTTCAAGCAATTTTTGGGTTTAGAACTAATGGAACTACAAACTAAACAAGAAAAGAAAAGTAAATAAAGGAAAATTCTAACTAAGGGAGCTTCACCCAGGAGTTGCTTCCCCCTAACTAGCTACCATGACTCGTTGGATTGAATGGAGTCGTGTGGTGTAGGTGGTTGTGAACCGCGAGGGTGAGCAACTAGTGATCGATTTGTCACTAAATCAATTCACTAGCGATCGATTTGTCATAGCACAAACCGTGACTGGAGCCACAAACCGTGAACATCGAGCAGTCCAGCGAGGCTTCAGAGGTTACTGACGCCAAGGGAGTTCACAGTCGCTAAGACCATGAACTGGGGCCATTAACCGTGAACCTAGAAGAGTGAATTGGTGCATTTTGGAGACGACTGAGTTTACGGACGCGTTTAGGTGTTCACGGCTGTGAACTGGCCAACGCGTCCGTGAACTGGTCACTTTCGGGCAAATATGAAGACAGCAGCGGGGAGAGAGAAGGGGGAGTTGCTTTTTGGAGAGAAATTCAATTCCTTGCCTCTCTAGGGTTTGCCCAAAAACATCAAGGGGAGTTCTAGTGTGAGAGAGAGAGAGAGAGAGAGAGTGCTAGAGTGATCTTTCGGGCAAATATGAAGACAGCAGCGGGGAGAGAGAAGGGGGAGTTGGTTTTTGGAGAGAAAATCAATTCCCTCCCTCTCTAGTGTTTGCCCAAAAACACCAAAGGGGATTTCTAGTGAGAGAGAGAGAGAGAGCTAGAGTGATCTTGGAGCATCATTGGAGGCTTGGGTGGATCTTGAAGACAAGGATTCAAGCCCAGAAGAAGAAGATCTTGAGCTCAAATTTGTAATCCCTCTCTTCTCTCTTTAGAAACTCACTCTTTTCTCTTGGGTGTTGTAGATCCCTAACTAATACTTTGTAATTACTTGTTTAGATTGAATGATTTTGTATGGGTTTGCATCCCTTTAGAAGGTTTATGGAAGCCTTAAAAGAAAGAAAAGGAAACTAATTGAAATAAACCCAATCTCAGATTCCCAAAATCGTTTAGGATGCTTGTTTGGAGATTGTGAATTTATATGTTTTCAAAAAATGAAAGGTCAATCCACACCATTGATTGGTATATACACTACAAAAAAGACTGGCAGATGTTACCAGACGATTGGCGTCACAAAAGACCTTTTATCGTCACAATAGAGTTGTTTTGACGAAAAACGGTCGTTGGTGAGTCGTGGGGTAAAGGTCCCTTGCTAATAGTTTAAATTTATTTGCGTCAGAAAATCATACATTTGTGACAATTATTTTTTGTCGTTATGCAAAATATCGTGATCAGAAAAAAATGTACTTAACTAAATAGTTTGACCAAATCTATTTTTAAGGGGTGAAATATTATTTTTGAGAAGTGCATTTCCTTAGATAAACTATAAATGAGGAAAACGTGTTTATCAATAAAGAAAAATTTCGTTAATAAAAAATTACAATTTTTTATCCGAAAATACCCTTTATACGTTTTGACCACATTTGTTTGTCATAAAAGAACACTTTTTGCGAGGGTTAATTATGTTCCGAAAACACCCCTGTGGTATTTATAATGATTATCTTGCGTCACGAAAAACTATTCGTACTAATTGTAATTTTAGTTTTCAACGCGAAAATAAAGTCAGAAGAAAATATCGAATATTTGTGACGCATAATTTTCGTGGGAAGAAATGAATTATTTTAGACCAAATTTTGTGTTCATGTAACCAGATTGTTGCGTTAAAAATAGGATTTTTGTAACACAAAATATTCGTCGGAAGAAACATATTAAATCTAACCAAATTGTTGTGTTAAAAGAGAATATTTGTAACAGAAAATATTTGTTGGAAGAAACATATTAAATATAACCAAATTGTTGTGTTAAAAAAGGCTATTTTTAGCACAAACTATTCGTTGGAAGAAACATATTAAATCTAACCAAATTTTTGTGTTAAAAAAGAATATGTGTAACACAAAATATTCGTCGGAAACGGCTTACTAAAGCTAACCAATTTGTTTCATTACAAATAGAATATTTGCAACAGAAATATTCATGGGAAGCAACTCGACAATTCTAACCGAATTTCGTGCTACTGTAACCAAATTATACCGTTAAAACTACAATTTTGTCCGATTAAATGTTTTTACTATATATTATTTGTGATGAAAACTGAAAATGATAATAATGAATTGTATTTTGCAGGTAATTTATTAAAAGCATAAAAGAAATTATTGAATGCAATATATTAGCAAAAAATGAAACTTCTCCATAAAATTAGGTGGCCTAACCACCAAAATTGTCTTAAACGCACATAGAAACCACTTTCAACACTTGTTCAAACATATAACAAAACATAACATAAACATAATCCAACTGAAAAATGGAACTTGCAAAGTTCCTACGACTGCCTTCTTCCTAGCTACAAACTTCCGATTGAAAATTGAAACTTGCAAAGTTCCTACTGTTGCCTTCTTCCTAGCGCTGCAAACATAGTAATCATCATCACCAGGGGGAGCTATTCTCATCATCAATACCGTCCGCATCTTCATCATTCACTTCCTCGTCTCCATCTTCATCATTCACCCCCTTGTCTCCAGCCTAAATTACAAAGTTAAATAGATCATGGCAAGGTTCATACCATTAATCATGCTCAACCAACTAAAAAACAGCACCAACCACTTACCATTGAGGACTCTGCCAAAGTAACTCCTAGCCTCTTCAAGGTGTCCTCGACAATCAGAGGAATTCCATTCTTCACCTGCACTAGCTCTTCTTTCAGCATGCTTATCATCTCATCATTCTTCACCTTCTCTTGCCTTCGGTCCTCTTCGCAGCTTTTGCTGCATCCCTGACCAGAGGTAGAGCCAAACGCATCCACACCACTTACCCCATAACTCATTCCCATCACACGTTTCCTAGACAGTTTTCCTACAACCTCACCATAAATCGCAAACTGGTTCACCTCTTCCCCTTGACTCAACTTCTCAGCTTCCTTATTCTTAAATTCAGCCTACACACATAGTATTTAATAACTATTACGCTGAGTTTAAATGATTTTAAAAACGCAGAAGAAAGCTAAAATTACTTAACAAGCAATGTACTAACATGTATGGTCTGAGCTTTTGGGGTGGTGAATTCACCATTGGCCTTCTTAACATGGAACTTCCTGAATGTCTCTATAGGATCTGGTTCCTTTTCCATCTTCTTGATCTGCAAACACAAGAAAAAAACAGGAGCAGTGAGCTCACACTTCTCACAATTAGCTTCATTCTTATTAAATACAAGAGAATATATCGGGTTACCTGATCAAGCCTAAACTTTGCCATGGGAATAGATCCGCCAGTAGCAGTGAGCTCAGACTTCTCACGATTGGCTTTATTCTTATCACTGGTGCTCTGGCGGAGTGTAAAGACAATACAAATTAGATACAAATACAAATAATCATAATACACAATTTTAGATAGCAGCAAATTACCTTCCAGTTTGGGTCACTCCACTTGTTAACCATATCCCTCCAAATATGAGCAGGGATTTCAGTAGGTGGATTGTTAAGCCTTTCAGCAAGGGTAGCATGTTCAGAGAATACTCGGTTACGGAACCCATACATCCACTGGGAAAAGTTCCTCTTGATATGTTCCTTTAGACGAACATTGAGTTCTTCCTCTGGCAGAGAGCACGTGAACCCAGATTCCTTGAAACGAGCAATCACGGTCTGCAAAGCAGAAGCCGGGTACTCTGAGAACCTTATCCATGGTCCAGTGATGCTCCTTTTGAAGATGGCAGTGAGTTCATGGGCAGCATGTGGTGTGACAATCCTACAAATACAAGAGAAAGTTCATAAGCATTAATCGACACAATGGAAATTATTAGGTTCTACACACAAAAGGCAATATCTTATATATTTACCTGTTGTCATGTATCTCAAGGTGAATGCCATGGTCCGGCTTCACCCCTATTCCAGGACCTCTGCCTTTCTTCTTCTGAGCCGAAGAACATCCCCCAGCAGAATGAGACCCCTGGCTTAGGTTCGCATCCTCTTCAAAATCTATGTCATCATTCGGGGGATGAACTTCTTCATTCTCTAGCTCATTCACTTGTTGTTCACCCTCCCTTTCTTCCTGCTGAGTTTCTGGTACAGTTTCACTTTCCTGAGTAACCACTTCGACATTGTCTACAGGGGCTGACCTTTCTTGTTCCTCCACTGGCCTTTTGGAAGGCTTTGTCTTTCCAGCCTTTTTTGGCCTTCCCATCTAGAAGAAACAACATTCACATTGTTACGGGGACAATTTAAACACAACTAATACATGAAAAGGAAAGGAACCGAGAGAAAATTAATTACTTTGTGCAATCAGACTTAAGCTTTTCATCTGTGGTTTTTTGTTTGCCTGAGGGGGAGGGCTTCTATCTAGGTTGTGAGGTCCTTCGTTATAAAAGAAGAGGGATATATATAGGGTAAAGACTAGGGTAGATAATTGGGGTAAAGAATTGGATACATATGAGTTTATGAGTTGAGTCGTCGATGAGTTGTTTCTAGGAACAAGGTAAGAAATTGAAAGCTAAAAACTCGATCAGATGAATCATCAAACGGGAACTTAGAATTAATAGCGCAAGTTAATGCAAAGTTAATCCAGACGCTTCGTACCTCCGAGAAACTCTGCAATCAATTCCGATGGATCGCCTTCTCGCGTTGCATGTCTCGCGCCTCTGATCCGATGGTAGATTCTCCGCTGTCTCCTTCATTGTAGCTTAAAGCGTTGAGAGATTCCAGAACGATGATTTGCTTCATTAAACCTTTCACTCGAATTGCGACACCGCGCGCCCTCGGCAATTTCGATTCAAGGGAAGTCGCTCGAGCTCTCGATCGACGAAGCAAAAATCTAGGGATTCGTCTGAAATGAGGAGGCAAAAGAGGCGGAGGGGAATTTTCTCTCTTCCACAGCCACATTCGATTGACAACAGCTTTTTAGTATTGAAACGTCTGGCGTTTTAGTGCGGCGGCGGCGTTTCAGCTAACCACCAGAGTGTTTTTTTATTTGAATAATAATTATTCTATATAAGTAATTTAAATAGCATATGGCATAATATAGTAATTCATTTATGCTAATATGCTTTTATATAAGTCATTTAAATATAGTAATAAAAATTATCTATATATACCTAATATATTTTTTTATGAATATAGTTATTTTAGAATTCAATTTTCTAACAAAACAATACTATAATGTATATGTTTAACTAAATCAAAATTGATAATAATAGTAAAAGTAACAAGTTCATAATGTATGAAAGCAAAACTTAGAAGTCATATTACATGATTAATGAAATTCTTCATAACCCATGCCACGCAGATTTAAGTTAACATCGTCGTCCTCATCCTCGATAACTCGACCCCCATTAGTCATTTCGTCTTCTTGGTATGCTTGTTATTCTAAAATTTCATCGACATCAGCCACATTATAAAAATTCCCCGGCCTTGTCTCAACCACCATGTCCCATTTCGGATCTCTGGCACACTGCACATAATACACTTGGGTTACTTGAATTGCCAAAACGAAAGGTTCGTCCGTTGATTGCCTTCGTCTTCTATGGAGGCTAATAACACCATGGCCATCCCTCCTATAGCCCACGCCTTCTTGCGTGGTGTCATACCATTCACATTGGAATAAAACTACACGAAGTCCTTCGGTATATCACAACTCTATGATATCTTCAATTACGCTATAGTAAGGAATCCCCACTACTTCCTTACCTCGCACCATGACTCCACTATTTTGACTTGTTTTTCTAATCTCTTGATCTTGCGTGTGGAATCTAAATCCATTGATGCAATATCCCTAGTATTGCAACACTCGTTTGTCCGGCTCTCGAGATAAAGTCGACATAGATGGATGCAAAGTTGCAACATTATCATCAATCATTTTGCCCACCTGCATCATCGAGCAGTTTTTTTGATTTCTTCTACACAAATATCATAATAAGACAAAACTTCAAAAAATTTCGTGTCGGAATAGTTACCTGAATAGCGAACCACTTTTGGAATTCTTCCCTATGCACTCTCTCAACCATTCTCACACCGCGTCCAGCCAAAATATCCTTGTGTTGTCTATGTATATAGTATACGTACATATGAAAATTCTTAAGATAATGATTATTGTAGCAATACTCACTGTATTGAAGAAGTATAAATCGTACGTACCGCCTAAAATCCTCGACTTCGTCACAGTTTTGCAAGACATAAAACGTTGCAGCCTTTAACAAATCATCATTAAAGTCCTTCATGATGAATGTACCAATGAAACGACCGATACGTGGCAGAATGGACAAATTATGTGGGTGAACAGTTCCCTCCGCAATACTATCATCATTTCTTTCAGGACGATTAAATCGAGTTTTCACATCTGTCATGTATTGCGAGCAAAATGTAACGCACTCATCAATCACATATGCTTCAGCAATAGATCCTTCTGGTCTTGCCTTGTTACGAACCCAACCTTTCAATTTCTTCAAATACCTAGTAACAAAAGTAGGAAAAATTAATAGTTAATCCTATTCATTGGTAAAAAAACAAAAACAATAAATTTTTGGACATGTTTCAAGAATTGGTAAAAAAACAAAAACGATAAATTTTTGGACATGTTTCAAGAATTAGTAAAAGACGAAAAACAATAAATTAATGGATATGTTTCAAGAATTAGTAAAAAAACAAAAAACAAAAAACAATAAATTTTTGGACATGTTTCAAAAATTAGTAGAAAATGAAAAACAATAAATTAAAGATAATGAAATTCATACATTTCCACTAGATACATCCAACGATATTGGACGGGTCCAACAATTTTTGCTTCCCAAGGTAGATGGATGGCTAAATGAATCATGATATCGAAGAATGCTGGGGAAATACACGTTCCAACTTACAGAGGGTTATGGCGATTTCGGAATCCATGGCTGATAACTCTTTCATACGTAGCTCCTTCGAACATATATTCTTGAAGAAATTGCCAAACTCAATTAAGGGGTCCGCTATAGCCTTTGGAAAGAAGTCCCTAGCTGCAAGAGGAATTAATCTTTCCAACATGATATGCCTATCATGAGTTTTCATTCCTGAAATCTTCCCTTCCTGAACATTTACACAATTCCTCAAATAGGCACAATAACCATCTGGAACCTTTAAGTATGATATCCACTCGCAGAATTCCCTTCTATGCGCTGGCAGCAAGCTATATAAAGCTCAAGGTAACACTGTTCTCCCGTTCCTCTCTACAGGATGTAATTCATTTCTCAATCCCATCTCCTGCAAATCTTTGCGGGTATTTAGACTATCCTTGGTTTTGCCTTCAATACTCATCATTGTACCCAAAACACTATCACACACGTTCTTCTCAATATGCATGACATCTAAATTGTGGCGTAACTTAAGTGAACTCCAATACGGCAATTCAAAGAAAATGGAAATTTTTTTCCAATTATGTTCTTTACCAAATCCATCGATCTTTTTACCCTTTCCTTTGACCCCAAAAACAATTTGATTGAATGAGTGGATCTGATTTGATACCTTGAGTGATGACAATTGCCTTGGTCTAGGCCTCTTCTCTACTCTACCGTTAAATTGCTTCTTTTGTTTGCGCCACTTATGATCCAATGGCAAAAATCGACGATGATCCATTTGCGTCAACCTCAAATGCGCTGTTTCCCCTGCACACGATGGACAAGCTAAATTACCTTTCCTACTCCATCCAAAAAGATTAGCGTAAGCCGGAAAATTGTTGATGGTCCACAACAATGCAGCTCGCATGATGAAGTTCTCCTTCTTGAATGCATCACAAGTTAACAAGCCTTCATTCCACAAAGCCTTCAAATCATCGATAGCAGGTCTAAAAAAAATATCAATACTATTACCTGAAGCTTTTGGGCCAGAAATGAGCAATGTCAAGAAGGTGAAAGGATTCTTCATGCACTTCCAAGGAGGGAGATCATACGGGAATAGAAGGACCGGCCACGTGTTGTGCTTGTTGTTCATATTGCCGAATGGGTTGAAACCATCAGTCGCTAGTCCCAAACGAACGTTGCGGGGTTCTGAACCAAAAGATGGGTCAAACTCGTCCAAAGCCTTCCAACCCTCTCTGTCACATGGATGCCTCAAGATCCCATCTTTCGAGCGGTTTAGAGCATGTCGTACCATATCTTCAGCATTTTTGGACGACATGAATAATCTTTGTAGTCGTGGTTTGATGGGAAAAGAGCGTATAATTTTGCACGAAATTTTCTTATCTCTGTCCTTCTTATCCTTATAAACTTTCTTCCACCTTGATTTTTTGCACGTAGGGCAAGATGTCGCATCTGCCAGCTCAGCGTAGTTTAGGACGCAATCGTCCTCACATGCATCTATTTCTTCGTAGTGTAGCCCAAGGGATTTCATAAGCTGCTTTGTTTCATAGTAATTCTTCGGAAGTGATTTCGCCATAGGAAATACAGCCCGAATATACTTGACCAACTGGGAAAATGAATTGTTAATCCAGTTATTCTCCCACTTCATTTTCATAAGCTTTGTGACGAATGACAATCTTGACACATTCAGAGCACATCCCTCGTACAACGGTGATTGGGCCTCTCCAAAAAGTTTGTAGAAATTTTGAGCTTGGGCATTAGGCTCTTCCGGATTCGCTAATGGAGCCATGAGGTCGTTCAGAACACCAAGCATATCATCTTCGCCCATATCGTTATCTTCACCCATATCGTCATCATCTTTATTTTCTTCTTCCATGTTATCATTACTTAATTCTAGACCTTCATCATCATCATCATCTTCTTCATCTTCATCGACCTCACCATGGTAAATCCATTTAGTGTAGTCGCTTCTCATTCCCTTATAAAGAAGATGTAATTCAACATGTTTCACTGTCATTCTACGCACATTACCACATTCCACGCAAGGACACCTTATTAGACCATCATCGTCTTTAACATGGTCTGTTGCGTACTTCGTGAATTTTTCCACTCCTGCAAAGTACTGTGTACATGCTCGATTCTTCAATTGTATCCAAGCTTTGTCTATAGGTTCCATACCTACAGATGTAAAAATTACGTTGTTAGAAAATATTACAAACAAAGTAAAACTAACTTATTCATGTAAATTAAATTATTGATTTAAAAATAATTGTTAATTACAAACAAATAGTTCATAATCACATTCAATATAATTTTAATTCAAGAACAACTAGGAAACTTAAATACTTCCACTTTAAGCTACATAATCACATTGAATAAAATAATAAATTAAAAATAAAACATTTTTGCATGTGTATGGTGTACAGCTAGAAAATGCCTAAAAACACCAATAAATTAATAAAAAAAGCTGGAAAAACAATTACACAGAACGAACCCCTTACCTTCCTTCGCAATCGTCCCAAAATCGTACTGATAGCAAGACTTAGCTTCTCCCAGGCGTCGTTCCATACTTCCAGAGTTCAGTCGTCTTCTCAATTGGCGGTGCACTCCGGCGGTGGGGAAACGGTAACTCCGGCGGTGCAGTCTGGCGGTGGGGAAACGACAACTCTGGCGCTGCAATCTGGTGGTGCATTCTTCTCAATTAGCTATTTCAGAGTTCGTTCGATTGATTTGTTCTTTGTTCTTTATTCTTACTGTTTTTTTATAAAGAGTTCGTTTGATTGATTTGTTCTTCCACCTTTCTCCCTTTCGCCGCAATTAAGAGGATGATGTGAACGAACGACAGTTTTGATGCGTTGAACAGTTTTGATTCATTTGTATAGTTACCATTTATTGTAATTTCGGAATTAATTGGTCTGCAGGGGAAGAACAACCTGAGATTCGTTTATTGTTCTGCAGGGAAAGAACCTAGCGTTGAATTGATCTGCAGAAGATGGGGAGTTCTCTGCAGATATGTTTCTGTTACACAATAATTAAAAACAGAAACAACAAAATCACACAAATATGCATGTAGCGTATCTGGTGTGTACTCTCACTCATGAACAATAGGTCCTAGGTTCGAGTTGCATCACAAACTTAA